TATAAGCGGGACATTATGTTGTCGCATTAAATTATGAACGATGATGGATCACTATGGCGGACTATCGAGCGACGGGCGCCTTTAGGAAGCATAATTCACGTTTTACGTCCCGCTCGAGAGAGAGAGATTACATTTCTCTCGAACCACTAACAGCCGAGAGCTTACGGTTCGACGATGCATCCGGTCGAGGAACAATCATTTTCGTACCGAGCTTCGAGCAACAAATAAAATATGAACAACCGTACTACGCGTTGGTCGTTAAATGAACAAAAAAATAAATTTCTGTACCGTTAGTGGTGTGTTGCTTGTGAAATATTTTTTAAAAACTGAGGATTAGTATTAATATAAGGCAGTATAAATTGCAAGAATTGAACTGTAGAAACAGCTTTATTAGCAGTTCTTAGGAACTTCTTGAACGATGATTATTTACAAGATACAGCTGATTTAACCGCAGACTACTATACATGTAATTATAACTACGTTAACTACTCAGCGTTGAAACCTAATTATGGCCTAGTCCTGGATATTAGTTTTCCATGTTAACGAACTTTACTTTGTCGGGTTCACTCTCAATAAATTGCTCCAAAAATCAAATGCATGGTGTCATTAAATCTTTTGGGCAATCTAATAGAAGGGGATCGTGAATTTGATGGTTTCAGTGTTGCCTTTGAAATGAATTTTGTTAAGAAAAAAGTATATTTAAACCTTTGAAAGTTACGTGTACCTATTGCGTGAATTCTATTCTATTGATACACGTCTGAGAGTACTTAAGAATTGAATCGTGTTCAGGTTGGAAACTCGACGTTAACGATCCCGCCAATTTCAGCGCGTAACGTAGCAGCTTTATGATGTAAATAAGAGGTGAACAAAGTCACCGCGGACATTCCTGGAGCACCGGTACACATGGCGAATTTAAATGCGAGAGCCAAGCTTAGAGGTGTTCTTAAAATTCTAGCGCACACAGGGCTTCCCTCCATTGGGAAACGTCAACTGGTTTTCCGTCCGTTAGCGAGCCTCGTTTCTCTTCGTTGAAAGCACCCTCTGAAGCTTCAAGACCTGTCTCGCAATATTCGTGGCATTCATAATTTACGAGTTGCAGCCAAAGGAGCTGGGGATGGCGTATATTTTCGCCATTATTTTTTACGGTAGCATCGTTCCCATCGATCTTGGCACGCTGTACGCGTTCGATCGCGATCGCGATCGCGCATTTCCGGTTAAATTACGACGTTTTTAAATCGTGTTCTGGTCGTAAATTCCAAGCAATCTTCGCTGGATCTTACGTCGTTGTCTTTCTTTTAAAAAGTTGTCAAGACTTTTAAATGGGTGGTAATTTGTAAGAGAAATCCGAGGAAATAAAACGGACGAGAAAGAACTTCGTAGCCCAATTGTCGCGGTTCTTTAGGGGTCTTTGTTAGCGTCGTCTTGCCTTATTGCAGAACGAAATTGGTCCCTTCCGATTCGCTAAATCGGCTTGCCCAGACAGCATTTTCCTGTCATACTTTGCTTGGTAACGAATTTAAAAAATTAAGCCCCCGAGCAGAAAATTCATTCCATCTTTCAGCTTAAAAAAAATTTATTTAAATTGTGTTACTTTTGTTGGTTATATACGTTTCCGTATTTCCATTCAAGAAAAGTCTCCGTCCAGTAATAAGAAAAAATAAATAATTTATCGAAACTATTCACCAAGGCACAGAAGACTCTTTCCCATCAGTCCTGTAATTACATCTTGAAAGTTCTTCAATGGCACAACCTTAAAGTTTCGATAGATTGCTTCCTCCTGCAAGAATCCTCCACTTTTTCTTAGGGACAGTTCATCTCGCGATCGTCTTTATCAAACCGAAGCATTTATGCCGAGAAACTTTGCTCGAGCGGTTCGACGCTGTCAGAGATAATAATGAAAAATAGACGATCGATCGAATAAGAGTATTACCTTTTTTATACGACTCGACTATCTTCCCTAATTGTACACGGGGCTCGAGGAAATTTTGCATTCGTTTGCAAACTAGCAACAGAATTCTAATTTACAAATGAATTCACGACGACAGAATTTTGTATTACATTCGTCACGAATCCAATACTAATTACAAATACATTATGTGGTCCTTCGATGCCTGTTGATATAATTGTAAACTCTAGACTGTTAATTCGAGCATCGTCTCCTTTTTGTGGTCCCAAACGAGTAAACTGCTTACGTCGATTAGTTTGCAGTTCGCAATCTGTTATTTATATCGGGTTTTCCAACGAAACCGAAGAACTTTTCAATTAAATTTCAATCGGTGGGATCGTGTCGTCGTAAAATTACGGGAACATGGCGTGGCGAGGGATCGTATTTCCCACGGTGAAATCTCGAATTGTACATCGACACGAACGCGATGTCACGGGCTCGTCGTGCCTTTGACGGAGGAAAATTCGGGGCATAGATTAGCCCGATCGCGACGCGGTATCGTTAGCGAGGGCAGAGGTAGCGAAATTCGCTTTGGCGGAAATTAGGTAACGCAACCGATATCGGACCACTAAATACCCCTTTGCCAGGAGTAAAGCTCTCACCCCAACGCTCAAGGGGTGAGCATTCGCCCGATAAATAACATCGCGAGGGTTCTCCAAAGGCGACGACGACGACATTTTCCAAATTTCTTGAAAGAAACTCCTCGATCGACTTTGCCTCTTCACGTTATTATACTCGAAACTTTCGAGCACCCTTCGATCTTCAAAATTAAATTAACCTCTTCTCGTGAACAGCCTTGCTTCGTACTTTCGGTATTTTCAGAAATTTTAGCACTTCTAAAGAAAGGAAAATTGAATACGAAACGTCTAAGCACCGTGTGTTACATCAAACACTTTCAAACTAGATTTTGCCAAGGTTGCCTAAACCGTACTTTCGATATTTTCCAGAAACTGTAACGCTTCTAACGAGAGAATATTTTAATATGAAAGATCTGTGAGCAGCGTGTGTTACATCAAACACCTTCAAACTAGATTTTACCCTCCTTTGTTTGGCAGGGCAAGGATGCCTAAACCGTACTTTCGATATTTTGCAGAAATTATAGCGCTTCTAACGAGAGAAGATTTTAATACGAAAGGTCTATGAGCACCGTGTGTTACATCAAACGCCTTCAAACTAGATTTTACCGCGCGGAAAATTAGCTGTTGCATCGTCGAACATGAAAGTCGACCGCGTATTGCAAGCACACGCGGTAACGACGTTATTTAACTAATTTCAACTGTTTACGGGGGTTGGATTTAAACAGTCTTACGCAAACATTTTATTGATATAAGGGTGAAAATTATCATTGCGCTTTTCTTTCTGTGGACACCTTTTCAAGTTATTTTGAATATTATTGTGAATTAATTTCCGCGTATAACATAGCCACAGTGTTTAAGAGCATTTAAATTAATCAATCATAGGATAGAAGGGCCACTAACTTGGCCATTAGTAATTATGGAAAGTTAGTATCTCGGAAACGTAGTTGTAATCATTGTTATTGTACAACAGTATCTGTAGTTCCAGTGTCTCGCGTTACAGCAACTCACTCCTAGCCTTCGTGAATCGTTCCTTATCAACCTTTTACTCCGTCAAGCGCGCAGCAACTGCATTAATTGCTAAACACCGCTAATGAGAAACCTTTATCGTTGGCCCGTTGTTACGCCTTTTCCATTATTTCTTTGTTTCTGTATTTCATATATTACTGTTTATCTCCTCGTCTTAACGTTACAATTTTTTCTGCTTCTTTTTCCTCATTATCTCCATAGCTTGTTACGCTCTTCTTCGTAATTTTTACGATTCAGAACATAGCAGTCGACTCAAAAAATTATCTCAAAATTATTCATAACTGAAAGTACCGTATTTCGACAATTTTCACATACCCCAATAGATCGAACGAATATTCTTGCAAGGGGGTGAAATTTTCTCACGGGTCAGAAACGACCCACTCGCGACGTGAATCGTGAAAGGGTTAAACGGGGAATTGGAGACATCAGAGGGGGTTCAAAGCGTCTTTGTTTCGGCGAGTCGATGCAAAGAGGAGTCAGGACGAAGCAGGATCAAATTTAATTATTCAACGTTTCGCTGTTTGCAACGCGTCGATGTAATCGCGTATTTCCGTCGGGGTGACAATTTAATTCGACCGAAGAGACAGCGAAAACGCCCGGGAGAAGGAATTCGTTAATAAAGGCACATCTGGGCGAACGAGGTTGGAACAAATTCAGAAAACGGACTCGCGACTTGTCGGGGATCGCAACCGTCTTGTCACGTTGCTTCCCGCGTTTGAATTTCAAATTTTTTGACAGATTACGGCCGACCGTACGACGTCCCAAGCACGTTTCATGATTCCCCGGAAACGTTGGATTTTAATTGCTGCTGGTATTTCATATTGTAACCATTCCCCTCAAATCGACTTCGATTCACTGCCCACCGGAGAGGTAAATTATCATCGAAAATTTTGCGGAAATTCAGTCGAGTAAATTTTCTGCAATTTCTATTAGAAATTACGAACGATCGCTTTAATAATTTTTTAAATGTCTACTACGATTGTTAGAGTCGAAGTTTTTTATTTAAAGTATATTTGATAGTTTGTTCTTCCTAATGTACGTAGGGATAGATTTTTTGTATCGATTACATGAATTGATTCACATTCTATCCGCGGAAATGGTATGTAAATACGGCTGGTTTAATCGCGACCATCTCAATTAGCGCGGTTAATAGATTCTAATGGCCGAGGCACGTATGAGTGGATTGGTTCGATTGAATTTCATTTAACAGATAACCAGTCTGCTTCGTTACAGCAAATCGAATCGCTGATCCCGCTATAAAAGACATTTAACATCGCTATACTTTGTTGCACAGCGTGTCTCGTTCGAATAATAATGCGATTGCGTTTTCTTCGTTTTATTGGTCGCTTTAATGGTCGATGGGATCATTGTGATAATTTGCAATGGTGTTTTGAATTACGTGCTCCGGTCGGTCGTTTTTTTTCATTAGTGGTTTTACTGCTCTGTTTCAGTGATGGTCGATTGGTAGAAGGAGATCAGATATTGGCGATAGATGGACAACCACTAGACTCTAACATCTCTCATGAGCAGGCAATCTCGATTCTTCAGAAGGCACGTGGTCTGGTTGAGTTGGTCGTAGCAAGAAGCGCCCAAGGTAATTTATATTCTATATTTTTTTTTTTCTTCCTTATATAACTCGCCCTTCTGATCTCGTCGTCCAACCTTGCTTCGATCCGCCATTTTACTCGATGAAAAGAGATTGAATAATCCACACTCTCGCTACACCAGGATAAAATATTATACAAAAGTAGAATAACTTGAAATCAAAAGGTATTTAAAATATTTTAATTCATTCCGAAATTATCGAAACTATTTGAGAAAATAACGTTTCGAGAACATTCAGGAATTTGTTTCGTATTATTTCTTATCACAAATATGTATGCTGATTCGATGATTTGCATTGCAAAGTTCTCGTTGCAAACCCTTTGGTCGATAAATCCATCCAAAATATCTCGAGGATGTTATGGTAATATATCGAAATATGTACTAAATATGACTAGACACAATATTTTATTCAATAATTCTAAATATATGGTACGTGGTTTATAATATGTAAATATGGCTGTGGTGAAAATGGAGGGATCTAGGTATTTTAAAGCAGTAGCATATTTGTTGTATGCGTAATGTAATATTATTATTGTGTCGGAAGCTGTTTGCGATGCGCCGCCATTGTGATAAGCGCGTCGCGTACCCGTTTCCACGGTTAATGATGAAGTTACTTAGAAAATGTACACGGGTAATTGAACTAGTTGGAAAATTTCAAATATGATACCGGTGACCAGAGTATCGGCGAATACGAACTCGAGCTCGCAGAAGTTTCGTATAACTCCTGGATCCAGAAGTATGATGCGTCCCATGCACCAAACTAAATTAATTATAATGTGCATACAAACAAATTTCGAATTCGCGAAAACAGAGTAAAACGTAGCGTTCGCGTTATTAGTTTAAAACTTGTTCCCCCGGAAATTATAATCAACCCCCATTAAATTCAACGATACGAGTATCTGGTTGATTTATTCAAAATATATTAAATGTCTAATTTCAGTTAAAAAAAAAAAAGAAACTTGGAGATCGTAGATGAATAGTTTTGAAAAATAGAATGATTTGTGGTCTTCTGTCGTGATTCTGAAAACAATTGCGTTCCTCCGCGATACAATGCCAGTTTTTTGCACGCAAAATATCCCAAGCATCTGCATTTGATGTCGCCATTATTGCGTCGAGTCACCATTCGCTCAAAAAGCTATTGTCCGGAAAAGGTCGCGGGACAATGTCTGAATTATACACTGTGCGAATTATGGGTTTAATTAAGGAATTAGTCCAGTAATGGCGCAGAACCAGCGAGATTATTAATTGTTCTCGTGAAAATAATTGAGAAACGAACGATGGGAACAAATTAATTTAATTTTACTTGCTCTATATTCCTAGTAATCGTGTTAAGGTGGTAGTTAAAATTGGTAATAAAGAACAGCTAAAAATAACGATGACTTGCTCTAGATCTGTGATCCCATCACTTATTCAGGATGAAACGCCTTTATTCTTAGCTGTTTCTTAATACCAAATACCTCGCAGTATCAGTGTATTTTATTAGAAGACCATATTTCTTTCAATTTTTTTTACCAAAAATTCCACCCTAAAAATGATCGTGGCACCATAGCTCCTCATTTTGAGTGCGACAGTTAGAGTCCTCGTGCACAGTTTTAAGGGAGGAGATTTACGTAAAATGGTAAAACGAGAAGTGATATTTGACAATTTAAAAAAAAAAAAATCGAACGACATTTTGTTCATAATATGAACTAAAATCCTCCTTAAAAGATGCAAAATTGTCAAAGATACACAAAACAATGATTCTTGCATCAAATCTCTAATTTAATTACGCAATAAACATAGTCTAAATAATTATCATTATTAAGTATGTTCGTTCATACGATGTGTAGTACTATTATAGACAAAATGTGGTTCGATTTTTTATTCTAGATCCAAGGAAAGAAATGCTAATCTGCACGCCGATCAACGTCTTCGACGTAAGGAGTAACATTTGTTATTTCGTCCAAAGTCGATAGAAACGTAACGAAAAAAAGATATTTGTATCTCGAAATGTTAAAGAATATATGCAGAAAGTGGCGAAAAGTTTCATCGAACCTTTATGTTGTAAAAAAATTGTCAAATATCGTTTCTAGTTTTACCATTTTACATGAGCCTCCCCCCTTAACGCTAATCGGATCGCTGGGTGAGGCGGTATCCGCCGAGGTACCGTTTCATCCCCCCATCGATGGCGACGATTATAACATCCCTGTTGCTGTTCCATCGACAGACATTGGGAGTTCCTTGCCGACGGATGAATTGTCCGGAGGTTCGAGTTCGACAACGGCCGCGGGAGCAGGTGTGTCCATCATCGGCGGCGTTGTCGGTGCGGCGTCCAACCAGGCCAGCTCCGACAAGGATCAATCGGTGTCAGTATCGTCCGTCGTTACACCAGCGCCGACCCCGAAGTCTAGCCAACCAGCCAGCACCACCTCGGCGGCAACACCGACATCGACACCCACACCGACACCCACGCCGACTCCAACACCGCTACCCGGAGGCCTCGTTGTCGAAAGGAGCCCTTCCGCCGTCAGCGACGCCTCCAAGAGTGGCTCTGACATGGTGGTAAGTGCCACGGGATGCTATTCTTTTCGTTTCTTTCTTTCGCGTTCCCTTCCCAGGTGCGCCGAAACTATACAAATTATTTTCCTTCTTTACTAAATTCAACTTAGATCAGAACTCTACGGAACAGCCATTTTGGTCCTATATTAAGTTTCAATTTTTTATTATTTTAATATACAGAGTATTTTTAAAGGAATTTACAGTGGGTGTAAAAAGTATTCGTACAGTGACTAATTGCGACGAAAATGATGAATAATGATGTTTATTAAACAATATTTTTTAAACAAACATGTACATACATTCTCCAAAAAATGAACAAAATAACAGAAATGAACGCGTAACAAATATTCGTACAGTTCTGTTGCCATTATCAAGTGTACAAGTAATTTAAACGTTTGTAATAAAAAAATAAAAAAATATAAAAATAATACGACCACTACATTCAGAAATTTTTTTTATTATACTGTCATATTATTTTACTTATTTTTATTTAATTAAACATTGTTATTCAGCATTTTAGTCGTAATTAATCACTGTACGAATATTTTTTACACTCACTGTATATCATTCTTGATCAAATTTTAAAATCGTGTCGTGCGTTTCAAGAAAAATGAGATATTGGACAAATATGAGAGTTCTGTGATATTTATTTGTAGTTCGATATACAGGGGTTGTAGAGTGCACCTCCCTTTTTTACAAAATTCTTGTATTGCTGAACGATTTCATTTCTGAGAGCTGTGCTGGCCTTTGTCGTATCGAACAATCGTCGCTCGAACCGTGAGACCCTTTATTCGTCTCTGAGATCAGTACAATTTTTAATTGCGACCCGATTTTTGCTCCCCGAATTTTCTGGATTCCTTCATTAAACGTTCGTTATTTCCCGTACGGGTATCGAACATCTGGAGCAGTATTTTTCAAAGATTTCAGGCTTCAGAATTCGGAAAATGTTCGTTACCGTAAAGAAGTATTTTATATTTCCAGTAAAAAGCTTTTAAAATTGGATATTAATGTCTTAATTACTTTGATGGGATTACTTCCGCAATCTCGCAGAAACTTGTTTCGAGAAAATCGCGTTTAAAGTTGTGCATGCATCTTCCACGTACATAGTAATTTATTTATGGCACTTGCTCTTAGTCTGCTATTTCTATCCCACGAGGAGGGCTCCGCTCGTTTGCGAAGAGTTGTTATAAACCCGGTTTTTCACATCTATGAGCTATTTTTGCTTATTTTTACGCGTCGAGCGCCCTTTCCTACGACATCCTTGTGCGTCAGTCACTTCGAAATGCGACAAATATTGTTGTTTGCTGGTCAGTGTTGACCCAAGTTAAACATAATACTCGTAACGTTAAAAAAATTCAATATTGCACGTCCAAACTGGCAATGGAGTCGCAGTTTTCACAGTTTCGTCTTTATACTAGGGTTCAAATTAATAAATTTAATTTTAAAGAAATATTATAAGATCATAAAACAGAATTATACACGTACCAAATAAATTCTATATAAAATTTTTCGTGTTGAAATACCTAATAAAAATAGTCACCTTTGATAGTTCCTGAAGAAACATTGTATAGAAGTATTCAGTCGAGTTTGTGTCGCTCGTCGGTGTATTTTGATCGATTCTGCGGTGCTTTCAGGGCTAAAGTGGAGGTAAATTATCGTAATGTAAGATGCTCGACGGAAAAGTCTTCCTGGGTTAACGATACCTTGATCGTCAATAATATCGGTTGCGCGAACGCCGGTTTGGCAAACACACTCTTGTAATGTTCCATCTGGCTCGGGTTTCATGAAAGGCCGCTCTCGACATCGAAGAGGCATCGGTTCTTTTTTCTGATTTCTTTGTACCTCCTTTGTGTCCCCTTCAAAATCGAGAGTGCTCCGTCGAGATTCAAGAAAGATTTGCGTCGAGGCTCGTTCGACCGGTGTCGCGATAAAATCCCGATCGATACTCGTTATAATTGGCCTCATTTGGATACCCCTTCGTCGCCTATGCTTTTCGCTACGGATCTCACCCCTTTTGTATTTTTCACGTCGTTTCCGCCAATCCCCCGTCCGTTTCACGGTAATAACGCCGACAAGTGTGGCGAAAATAGAATTATTGGCGAGATGTTCCGCTAGTTTGCGACGATATCGCGCAAAGACATTCTTCACGGCAGACTTGTCGAATTTTCTTTAGCCTTTGTGACGTCGACGATCGCCTCCTCTTTAATGTTTGTGCCTTATCAAGATCGTTTCAATTCCCAAACTCCGTTCAACTATAATACACTGGTGCTATAGAAACAGTGAAGTTCAGAGTCTGGGATAAACAGACTAGGTTCAAAAGTCGATTGTTCTTAACACTGTTGAGGGAAATACCTAGCAACATTTTAGACACTGTAAAATATAATCTTGGAACTTCAGAAATGTACCACTGTTGATATAGAGATGAAGTAGCTGAAAATAGATATTTAAAGCTTGAATTAGAACCCAACATGAAGTTTAAGGAATATTTGACAGAGGCTCGAGAATTAAATGTCGATGAGTCGAGTACCCTCAATTTGTTAGCTTCGGAACTAAAACAGAATCGTCGAACGAAACGAAATGGCACAGTTCGATTACCGGTTCTGTTTTCATAATAAGACAACGAGATTTGCGGCGCCTAAACGGGATAAGGGAAGCAGATGGCATTCGATCGACGGGAGTGAACAATTCGCGTGCACGCGAGCGTCGTTAAAATCGACAATGTCCCCGACGCGGCGTCACGACGGTCTCGTTAATATTCGAACGTCACTCGAATCGTTAACGAGATCACAATAGCTGGTGCAATTCAACGGATCGAATAAGCGCTGCTGGCAAACACGGACTGCCCCTCTCGGTAGAGAAATGGCGGTCCTCTTTAACGGCGATTCCATTTCTTATGCAGCTGCCAGGACCATTCGAGGCTCTCATTATAGACTGAAGAGAGGGAGAAAGAGAGAGAAAAAAGAAAAAATTAACGATCCATTAGCTTATTGCTTTCCCTTATTCTCCCGTTACAAGAAGGGACGAATTCCCTTCCAGAGGCCTATCGATTTCCGGCGTTCGTTGGACCGGAGTCTTGGAGGAACGTTTGATTTTGTCGGGAGTTGTTCGAACGGCCTCGTTCCACAATTACGGGGGAGTTAAAGTAAGGCAACGGTAAATCTGATGCGATTAACCTCGCTCCGGCGGTTAATTTAATCGTAACTTATGCAGCGAAACAACAACTTTCGTTTCCGGACGTGCTAAACACAGCAAACGTTCGCGAACTTAATGAATGCCAAATATTCGCGCCTCGAAAATTTGAATTCTAAACGTCGAAGACTAGTTTCACGCTGGATTCATTTATTTCCAAACAATATTATCTGTTAAAGTTTCATTTAAGTGTATATCAATTTGAGAAACTCCCAGTTGTCACACGTGGCACGGATTCGTGCACTGTATGAACAGACAAGTCGTGAAATCGTTTATACCGGAAGTCGAGCAAATTTCTGTAGACGTCAGCCGAGGGATCAACCCTGTCCCCGAAGGATCAATCCTGTCATACGGTGAATGGAGACTGTCAGCTTTGGTATGGATAGGTTTCGCGGAAACATTAGCGTCGTGGCTATCAAGATGACTTCATTTTCTAACACGGTAGAGAGATGGAATCTTTAAGTTTAAATCTCAGGAAAGAAATGTTCCGATCCCCGAACACCCTTAATGAGAAGATTATTAGCAAAACCTGGAGAAATTCAGGCGAAGAAGGATCACCTTATTCTAAAAACAGTCCATTAGCCTTTTAAATGTCTGCAACATTATTTTAAAAAATGAATACCGTCAACAGGGGTCAAAGGTGTCCTACTTAAATCGAGGTTAAGTTTGATCAGCATTGTAGGTACACTTCATTTTTCACGAAGTCATATTTATATTCATGAATTTGTACTTCCATACGTGCGCAAGAAAGACGTTAGATAAAGTCGTTACAGTTGTCCTTTGAGATATCTAATTTCAAAGTGGCTTAATATTTCAAAACTTTTCGTGCGTTCAAAGCGCTGCTGTGCTCGTTCAGCGTGAGTAACAGCGTTACAAAATTCATTCAATTATCGACTCAAAGGTAGTTCCACTTCGGGTCGCTAGAAGTTATTGGTTTCTTTCCAACAAACTTCGTTATCGATGTCAAAAGCAATCAACACCTCGATTTAGCACTAATCGTTCGATATTGGCTTTTCGTAGCTCGATGTAAGTCCTACGGTTGAACTTTTCCTGATACGAGGGACAGAAAGAATTCATTTCGAGTCTTTCTGCGTGTCTCCAAAACGTACAACTATCTTCGAAATCAAACACGATTGATAAAAATTGACAGGAAGTTTTCTTCAGAGGCATTCTATATTCACAGGCATTTTTAATGGAAAATTTATAATCCAAAGTCACTTATCTATTATCCACATTTTCTAAGTCTGATTAAAATCGTTTTTGTAAGAAACAAAAGTTTGATAGCTAATGGGTTAATCGTCTTGGGTAAAAGCAGTTTGCCATATCTTATATAAGTCACCCTCCACGATGTTTGACACCCTCCGGGTTTATCGAGACTTCAGATAAGGTTGGCGTCGATTTTACTGATCTCGTCTAGCGGCGTACCCCCATCGATTTTTCCCTTGAAAACTCCGCGATAAAGAGAACAGCGTCGCCGACGATGCTTGCAAGGGAAATTTTATTATCGGCGCAGTTTTGTACTCGTCTCCGAGCTATATTTCTCGGCATTTAACTTGCCTCGATAAAGTCGATCGTCGACGGAATTGTTCGTAAAAAGGAAAAGAACTTTACTTTCGAAAGGAAGCGATCTATCGAAACTTTAAGTTGTACTTTTAATGGAACTTCGAGGCGTAATTATCGGATTGCTGAGACAGACTCTTTGGTATTTCGGTTGTACAGGATAGTTCATCTAAAGTGCTGTCGGATATTTTCTACGAAACTGTATAGCACCAGCCGATCAAAAGTTTCGTGAAGCAATTTATTTTTAAAGAAACAAACAAATCGCTTACACGAGTTTCCATTTTATTTGTTCCCAGCTGAACACGGAATGGGCACAAGTTGAAGTTATAATTCTCATCAACGATGGCAGCGGTCTTGGATTCGGAATTGTCGGTGGACGCAGCACCGGCGTTGTCGTCAAGACAATCCTCCCCGGAGGCGTTGCAGATCGAGTGAGTTTTCCTTATAAAATTCCGTACTTTCGCATTTTCTTGCAGGACCATCCATAGCACACGATTCTACGTCAAAAACTGTAAAAAACGCGGAATAAAGTTTTTCCATACGAGCCTTGGATATCGAGATAATCGGGTTCAAAAATATTCGGGGCGCGTGCCCCGCGCGCATTAAAATTCGAATTCCTCGAAAACGAAGCCTCGTACAAACAAATTTCGTCTACATTTTTCATTCGTTTTTTCATGGAGAATCATCATCGATAATAAATTCCAGGAATTTAGTATAAAAAATTCGAAGAAACTTCCTTCGCGAATACATCGAAAGGCGTTTGATGCTACTAAAAATGAGCTATTGTATCTTTGCACGTACCGAATATAAATTCGACGGACTGTAAATTGCCACAGAATGGAATTCGTCCAATCCGGGTTTATTCGCCACATTCCCCGACGTTCGCGCGATGGACGCGAGCGAATAGAGCGCGTGGGAATTCGCGCATGGACGGTTGGAAATCACGTTTTCGATATGAAATAAAAAAAAAAAGAAACGATATAGAAAATAACAATAAAATGCTGAGCGAGAAATAACCGAGGCGCGCACGTTCGCTGACTCGCCGATCAATTTGCTAATTAAACATCGTCCGTTTGCGATGCGAATTGCAGGATAATCGGCTGCAGAGCGGGGACCATATATTGCAAATCGGCGATGTCAATCTGCGCGGAATGGGAAGTGAACAGGTTGCCGCGGTTCTGCGACAATCCGGCACACACGTGCGCCTTGTTGTCGCGCGACCTGTGGAACCAACTTCCCCCGATTACCAGGTATGTATTTCCCCTTCAATTCGCTCCAACGAATCGTAGAAATAAGACCATCCCGTCGAAACGCTCGAAAAGTAGGCAATTTTCACGATTTTTTAAAAAGAAAGTACACAATATACAAGTATAAAAGTTCTTAGGTATTATTAAAACAGTATTTGTACCTGTGAAACTGTCGCGTCGATATCTCAGTTAGTATCGTTATTATCGAAAATTTGTACAGAATAAAAAGACTTGAGAATTTAATTTGTAACAACTTTTGTTGCATGTATTTTTGCGCTACAGGCAACGGTGAGCCGTAAAATTTGAATACCTGGAATTTAGGAGAGAAAATATTCTGTTTTCTGTATCAGCTTTCTCAGTACTGCAATGTATCGACGAGGCAAATGAAATGACAGCTTCCCTTGAGAATTCGTGGCAGAATTCGCAATTAAAAATTGTTATGTACAAAAAGGGACACTTGTGTTTCTAACTTGATTATTATTTGCCCGGTTTCTTGCCTCTCGAAGTACTAATGGAATAGGTTAATCGAGTTTCTTCTTAATTAAATTGAAGAAGGGTGGTTTCATTAAATTATCGGGTAAGGTCTGTTTGCACTGTAAATACGTTATAATTGATCGCCCTGCAGGATATGTATCGGGTCAGTCGATAATGGGCATTGTTCTATCTAAACGAACGAAGAAAATCGCAATATTTTCTCTTCCTCTTCCTTATTATTTAAAATGGTTCGTTGCCGGTATATCGAGAAAAATATTCATCGCCATTCATCCACTGAAAAACAACTCGATTTGAAATTCTAATTTGGTAAAAAAAAAAAGATAAACTCAGAGTTCAAAATTAGATTCAGAGGACCCCGGTGTGGTGAACGATGGTTAATTTCGTCCTGCAAAGAAACGAAGTCTTGATAGAAGCTGTTCGGACACGATGAATATGGAGGTTGCCCCAAAAATCGAGATTAATGTTTGCATTAGCCGATTTTTACATCTGCAATGCGATCGATACAGCTAAATATTAATATACCGATTCTGTACGAGTCTGGAATACGAAGAACGAATGAGGAAATCTAAAATTTTCGAGCTTTCAGCGTCGTACACTTGGCAACGAACAAGTACGGTTTATAAATAATGCATTTTCCATCCAGCTTTAATCCTAGGAGCCAAGAATTAATTTCGAAACCTAATATATAATAAAATATATAAAAGAAGTTTTATTGCACCTTGGAATTTTTGGTATGATTTAGTTTGACCATTAGTGTTAAGAGAAAATCAGGATCCTGCTCTCCTACATTGAAACGGAAGCTAAGTTTACCGTATTACGAAACTTTGATGCGAGTTTTAATTGGTGGTAGGACGCAGGACCGGGCCTGGCTAGAAGCCGATAATTATTGACAATATTCGAACAAAAAGGGCCGAAGAATCTTGCGGTTAGAAACGAGAAATGCGGATTCCAATCGGATGGTGCGTTTCAGGCACTCGGTAGCCACGCTCCGATCGTACCGACGAAGATTCTGGGCGACCCGGATGAGCTGGATCGCCACCTGGTGCACAGCGTTCCGGAGACGTATAACATACGTCACGTGCAGAGCGATACAGCTTACGACAACGGCTACATGTACTCTCAGGAATCCGACGTCGAGATGCACGTGAGTGACTCATACACTTTAACGTTTGTACAGGGAGCTGGGTGAAAATTTCCAGTCGGATAATATCGAGTATTTTTATCTGGTGTGGCGTCATCCACCGGGAATCGTAACCGTTGTCTAACCCAGGTGAAAAACTGGGTTACCAACATAAGCCTGGTGTATTTCGCTGGTTTGCGAATTTTTATCTCGAAAGCACGTAGGAATTCGAGGGTATGTCCCTTGACTAAAAATGATTCTAATTGACCCCAGCAATCGGAAATAATTTTTCCAGAACGATTTGAAAATTTTTGATTTCACCGAAAAATTTCAGCACCTACTCGAATTTTTTTCTCAAAACAGCATAGGATTTCGAGGGTATGTCTATTGACCAAAAATGCTTGTAATTGATCACCGTAACCGAAAATAATTTTTCTAGAACAATTTGAACAATTTTTTTTTCGCCGAAAAATTTAGGCAGCCCCTGTCGATTTTTCTTAAAAATTCGATTTTGATTTTTAGTAATTTTGTTTGACACGCTACAGAAAAGTTGTCTAATACCTTTTTGTAGGTACCCATGAACTCTACGTCAGAAAAAAGTTTCATTGAAATATATTCATTATTGTAGAAGTTATGGCTGTTTGAAAATTGGACCATTTTTATGAGGTTTTTCTAACTTTACGGGATCAAGGAACAACTTTTTCAATATTTTTATAATTTTTACATATTCTTGGCCAAAGTACGCGTTGTTTGTCGTTTGAAACATTAAAATCGTCCAATCCGTTCAGAATTTATGACGTTTTTAAGATACAGAAGAAAATTTTCGAATGTCATTTCTGGCCAGAAATTATATTTTCAGTAAGGAATTTTTTTCTCGAGAATGGTTAGGATTTCGAGGATATGTCTATTGATCAAGAATGATTGTAATTGACTTCTACAATCGAAAATAATTTTTCCAGAGTGATTTAAAACTCTTCAATTTCACCGAAAAATTTAGGCACCTACCCTCTGTCGATTTTGCCGGATAATCGAAACTCTACTGTATAAACTTACCCTGTACTGTATTTCTTTTTCATTTAAATCAGGTTACTGTACGCTAGGACACTCTGTAAATTATATTTTTATTTATTCGATGAATCGACCTAACAATTAATTCCAATTAAAATACTCAGATTTCAATCGCAATCAACTTCAGTCGCAATTTCAATCGCAGCCGTATTGTAGCGTGCATCGGTGGTAGCCAAACTGACAAGTTTCGGATGTAATTTGCAAAGAGCTGCCAGATAAAACTCGATATTTAATTTACCGATGGAAAAGTAATTCCATCGCATTTTTCATCATACAATAGAACAATTTTCTCGATGCTAGAGAGTAATATTATAAATTAACTTTTATTCTGTAATTGTAATGGGTCCTGTGCAGCCACCCTCTTAATCCCGTTTTTCCCAGAGTCTCATGTAACGGTTTGTCTTTTTGCGTAATGTCAAAACGTTTTTGTAACTTGTTGATGGAGCTGTTGTCCAAGAGATTCTCGTTTCTGTAGGCAAGACCTGGTCTCATCATGGACGTAGTACGCAATCCAATGCCAATTGGAGCCATGCCAGTGATATCGGCGGTTCCAGTGCAGATCCCGGAGCTACCTGTTCTCACCATGGACACCATCGACGTTAATTCACTGCCAGAAATGGAACGTTTCACTGTCGAGCTTAAGAAAGACATTTACGGCCTCGGGATCACTATTGCCGGATACGTTTGCGAGAAGGGTAATCCATGGAAGAGTTACAATATCAGTGTCAGTTAATGTCGAGGCTCAGATTCGTAGACGGGACGTTTGATTGTCCTTTACGATACGAAGGCAGGTTCTATCATAGATTAAACCTTAATCGGTGGGGATTCGTTTACGCTGATTCTCGAATGTCCATTCGTTTATTTCTAGGCTGGAGTCACGTGCTCTTTTAAAGCATCGTTTATAATCCTAGAACTTATTATTTGTATAGGCACGAGGCACACCAAAGTCTCTAAATTATAACCTTGATACTAATAGTAGCAGTAAGAATGTAGTTCTACATAGTGCTGACAGTAAATAGAAAATTCGTTCTTTGGTAGTCTTGAATTTTTGGGAATCCATGAATTTTGTAGAGTTCATAGTTCCTCAATTATTTTAACTAATAGTGACTTAGGTTTTTTAATTTTTGACGATGGGGTTTTTGCAGAGGAGCTGTCCGGTATTTTCGTGAAAAGCATCAGCGAGGGTAGTGCGGCGGACTTGAGCAACAAGATCCAAATCAACGATAGAATAGTCGAGGTGGATGGCCATTCTTTACAGGGTTACTCGAATCACGAAGCTGTGGAAGTTTTAAGGCGCACCGGGCAAACGGTAGTTTTGTGCCTGGAACGATATTTACGTGGACCAAAGTACGAGCAGCTTCAGCAGGCGATCGCGGCCAGCGAACTTAGACTACCTCAGCCGAGTTCGCCATCGATAACAAGTCTACCAAGCTTCCCCATCAGTGCTGTGAGTTTCAATTGCGGTTACATTCCCTTGGATAGAATATATTACCACCTAGATTGTTCGCTGGATGATTCTCCCTCGCAGACATCTGTCTAATGCATTAACTAAATCTTCCTGGAAGAATGTCAGTCATAACTGTATTAAGTTATTGTAGCGAATAAATATTCTAACGTTGCATTATTCATCGAGTTCATCAGCAGTCTATCACATTTTGATAATTAATAACTCGGTTAGTTTGGGTGGTGGCCCCTTGAATCATGATCAGCAATTCGATTCGAACGTCTATTATCGCGTAATCGATCGTCCTGTTACAGGATGGAGAAACCACTACCGAAATAGAACCGGAAGGCGAGTCGCATACGACCGTGGACAGCGCAATCCTCCAAGAAGGTGAACGGGAAAGAGCCTCGGAAGAACTGGACGACGCGGCGAACGTGGAGGCTTTGTTGAGCGATCCATCCAGCGAGCTCACGCCACAGATTCGAGCCGCCATTAAGTCCAAGTGGCAGAAGATCGTGGGTCCAGACACGGAAATTGTGGTGAGCATCCAAATTCAATCATTACTTTTACCCCTGTTAAAGTGGTTCAAAGCTCGTAAACAACGTTGAACTACAGTTAATTAAAGAATTCTGTAACCAGGTGAAAACTGAGTTAAGGGACTTCCTTTCCGTTTCGTTCTAGGTGGCGCAGCTGAAGAAGTTTGCAGAGGGTAGCGGTCTTGGGATTAGTTTGGAAGGGACGGTCGACGTGGAGAACGGTCAGGAGGTGAGACCTCACCATTACATACGGTCGATACTTCCGGAAGGACCCGTGGGACAAAATGGAACGCTGCGTTCCGGGGACGAATTGCTGGAGGTAACGTATCAACTTGTTTGATAAGCTGAAGAATGTTGTCGCGTCATAAACGCGGTTACCATCAGAATTAACGCCTCCGGCACTTCGATACACTGCACCGACTCTAAGTTCGACAACAGGTTACGCCACTGTTTGGGTACATACATAAACATTTGCTAGAGAGTGCTCTAATTTTATTCTTTTTGATGACGAGGAACCCTCAAATAATTTAACTAGAATGAAAGATGACGATGTTCGTGGGCTATGTATCCTGCTAGATCGGAGGGGTTAAGGAGATTCGGAATTCGTTAATTAAGAGTCATGTTTTGTGTGCTTGTAAGGTGAACGGATATCGGTTGCTCGGCATTAATCATATGGAAGTAGTTAGCGTGTTAAAAGAATTACCCATACACGTTCGAATGGTTTGCGGAAGGAACATCGCGTCGCAAGATCCTCTTTGTCCGATCAACACTGCTCAACATCAGGCAGCGTTCCAGACCAGAGTAAGGGATTGAATATTCTTTGAACTGGCAGATGACTCGAGGCAAAGTCGGATCTAACGAGGTTCCGTTTATTCCGTAGAGCATCCTCGGCGGATCTCTGCAGAATTTGTTGCCAACGATGGATCGTCTGGTTAAGGCCAAGTCCGATGGTTCGTTGGCCTCGACGACGACCACGGCCACCATGACTGACGCCAGCTTGAACAGAATAAAGTCGCGTTCCCTGGAACCGCTGACTGGCCTGGCAATGTGGAGCTCCGAGCCGCAAATCATCGAATTGGTAAAGGGAGAGCGGGGCCTTGGGTTCTCCATTTTGGATTATCAGGTATTACTTTTACATAGATTCCAGTTACTCCTTATATTCCGTTGATGATATTACCCATCTTTAGGAAGATTTGAATGCCACAAAGTGGTCGAAATAATATTTATTCGAAGAATTATTATTTTATATATGCCTCTTTAAAAATTTGTGCATAACCTATATTCATTTATATCGTCTTAAGACTCGAGTAATTTGAAATCATTTGACTTCCGGGCTTTTTATACTCGGAGGAAGAAAATATTTGTTTTATTACCTTTCGCAATTACTGGACTTTCCATATATTTTTCCCAGTTATTCTCCCTTTTGTTTTTTTTTCTCATTCCTCCGGCTTGCTCCTCCTCCATACTAAAAATTCCAGCGAGAGTTACGTTAGACTTCAACAGAGAATAACCCAAGAGAAAACTTCCTTACAACTTCGCACAGAATCTGCCGAGACTCCTGGACCCCTTCCTTTGTGACTATGATAATGAGAAAGGGGCTAGTTATTCCCAGTCAAGTATCCCTTGGTATACCCTGAGGACGCATGATAATATTCGTGATTGTTGGATTAAGATTATAGTCCTAATAGCTTGGGAACTCCTGAGCATTACAGCATGGGACACATTGCCTAATCTAAATTTCGCTGTGCTCGCCATTTTCTCGAGATATCTCGAGCTCATCGTTCTAGTTTCTTTATATATTTGGTTATATCTTAATCTTCGAATGTTTTCCTACCCTCGTGTCTCTCTACGACTACTTCCTAGTTTATCGATTACTTGTATTCCTCTTCCCATTATATTATTTACTTCTTTTGTTACATATCTTTCCTCGTGGAACTTCATCCTTCGTCTTCCCCCTTTTCAAATTCCCCTTTCTCCTACTTCTACTAATTTCATCCCTTCATCTTGCCAGTTCGTTTCTCCCTCTTTCGGTACTTTCCTCCCTGCCTCTATTCCCAACTTATCTTTTCCCCTTCGCTGGCGTAACCCTAACGGTCATCTCGTAAACTTGTCCTGGAGCCCTTCCACCGCTGCTTGTTTACCCCAAACTCCATATTTCTACTCCGTATAGTACGGACGCTACCAGGCTCCACTCTTTTCTTTTAATTAAAAATTTCCCTTATTATGTTTCTTGTATTATAACATTCTTCACAAGTTTGGTACTACTCCACGCGGTTTTCGATCAACGATCAACCCTTCAACGACAAGTAGAGCATAACACAGACCCAGCTGTGATGAGTCTGGGATCCAAATTAATTTTAAGGCAAAATAAATAATTGCGTAAGTCGTTGAAGGGTTAGTAGAGTTCATGATTGATGGTTTCAGTGGAGGAACGGGGCGACTAAGAGGGTCACGATGTAATTTTGCGCGTTGCAGGATCCAATGAACCCCAACGAGACTGTGATAGTAATAAGATCGCTCGTGCCTGGAGGCGTAGCTCAGGTAGACGGGCAACTGATACCCGGTGATCGTCTTTTGTTCGTCAACGATATCGCCTTGGAGAACGCGACGCTGGACCAAGCGGTGCAAGCACTGAAGGGGGCCCCGAAGGGCACCGTTCGCATCGGCGTGGCCAAGCCGTTGCCAATTCCAGACAGTATTGTCCAGGTGAGCGATCAGGACGATCGGATCGAACCGACCAGAGATAGGGATAACGAGACCACCACGTGCTTGATTATGGATAGCCACAAACAGAGGCGAGAATATTTCAGGGAGCGTAAAGTGAACGTAATCGAGCCGCCCCATCACATGGATTTGATCGAGGGATTGAAGCACCAGCACAATCTCGTCAAATCTGAGAGTTTCTAAAAAAAAATAAACAAAAAAGAAAAAGAGAAAAAAGTGTGTCCCCAGTTGGTCGAAAATAATTGTTTGCTCCCCTCCAGGGACACGGTTTTCCGAGATTATTCAGCCTCTGTTGGACCTATGTTCGCGACTCCGCGTGTCTTCGAGACGATCGACATTTTACGTCAACGTTCATGATCGATCGATTGTTGTTTCATTGATGATAGGACTCGTTTGTGTGATGTTTTTTTGTTTTTTCTAGACCTCCAAATAGCGACGACAATTTTTAAGCTTTCTCGCTCAGTTTCTAGGACGACGAGACCGTCGCAGCGCAACGAATCGTTGCGCGATTTTTCCGGCAACTTTCCGTCCATTGACTTCCTGATACTTTGAAAATGGTACTTCGTCACGCTGTCCGGGACCTCGAGTGACGATTGTATTTGCTGAACAACCGATCCGTTTCGCGACGAAACTCAGTGCTCAAATAGTTTATATCGAATCGTTGAAAGTATTCACGAAAGGGAGTCGACTTGTTTTTTTTTTTTATATATATATACAATTTAGTATCAAGAAACGGTCGTTTTGAATTCGCGAGGTTTTTAAACCGTTTTTGATACAAGCACGAGGTGCAGAGTATTAACGCATAAATATAATAATTCGCACATTTTCGTCCATCTTACTGCAAATTTTGAAAGTTTATTTATGTTTACGGCACAGAATTGCTAACATTTTTAAAGAGTATACAAGACTGCATATTATTGACCAGCGTGATCTTTGAGAATTTTACTCGTTTCTATTTCGATCTTTGTATAAGACTCGTGCGACAATTATCCTTGTTAGAAGTAAAGACGGCAGTTATAGTATAACGAAGGAAATATCTTCTTTTGAAAATCGAATAAACGTTTCACAGCGTGTATGAGTTAATAATAAATAGGGTGCCGTACACGTTGTTTTATTTTGTTTAACATTATCCACGAAAATCCTCTTCCTGTCCCTTTTCTTTGTGTCACACCTCGACTAATTTATTTTATGTTCACCTGCACTTTTAGTTTGCTAATTATTGTTTTGTTATTTATGTTCTTTTCGTTTGTGTTTTAACCATTTCTGTTTTACCGCTTGTTCCGAAGGAAACTGTCAGGTTAGACAATTCAAGTATACTGAGATACAAGGAAATCTTTACTGCTAAATTGCATTATTCATAAAATTAATAATCACGCAGAGATCAAAACCTCGACAGATACTGTCGCTTTTGTTTTCTGAGCAGAATATTAATTGCTCATGGTTACTTCCCCCACTTTGCACTCTCTGTCTTTCAAATACTGTGCAGATCACTTAAAACCGACCATTCCAGATGTCATGAATGGAGGGGGGTAGTTCTCAAATTTTACTCGCGAATAAATAAAAATTTTAGATCGAATCCCAAATATATCTAAAAATTTGATTCTTTATTCGCGAATAAAATTTCCTCGTTTAATTACCATGCAAAGTATGCTGGGTGGGGGTAGTGGTAGTGACCTTGAGCAGTCAATATTTTCAGGCTCTAGTCGGAAGCGTACGGTTCGGGAATCTCGATTCCAATCGTTTCGATGATTGACTCTGGCACGATTCGAAGTTCGAAGCACACCTTCGCCCTAGTTTCGATCATGCTCTGTCGCGAGAGAATGCAAGCATCATAATTGTCCGAGACGCGTGCCATCGGCTCGGACTCGGATCCGAGCGATATCGATTGCGAAACGAAGACTTTAGGGCCGTGGCTGAGCTCAGATAACAAAGTTATCGGAGCACGGTAAATTGTCGGGAAGAAGAGATGGTAAACGATGCCGCGTTCCCCGACGAACGTGACGAGTGTGCGAATCCTCGGGGGTACAATGTTGCCCCGACGTGGCCGATCCATCCGTGTGTCAGACAAACGAAAAGAGAAGAGAGAACGAACGAACGAAAGGGTCGCGCTAAAACACGAGAATGGATAATAAAAAAATGACGATTCGATAGTATGCGGTTCGTGCGATTACCGCGGATGGGTTTTAGAAATGCCAACCATCGACTAAGTAAGTACTGAACAAAACGATTGTAATAGTGAATGAAAGTTGCCTGGTAGAGTAGCTGAACAGAACGAACGGTATTTTTGCATTCGACTGACTCTATTCTCACCATTCCTTCGAACTGTCCGAAGCTCACGTCGGTGATACATTCATACGCATACACAAACATACACACAGACGCAAACACGTGCAAACGAACGCGACCGTATTAGCGATCTTTGTTTTAGCAAGTTGCATTCGTTTGATCGGTTTTCTTCCTTCGCGCGTAAAGCAAGTCCCGCTTTCGAGCGATTTGTCGGGATTGGTTCGCTTCAAAGCGGGGTTGGTATTTATATTCTTTATTATATCTTAATGGAAGCGTTGGAAATAGATGGATAAAGTTTTCCTGATTAAAATGAATCCAAACTCGACCCCCTTCGGTCTACTTTTGATTTTACCTTGTGGGGTCATTTTTGAAAATTTTGAAAACTGTGTGTAATTAAAAGTAGTTCGAATCGTGTTGTGTTTGGACTCATTTTCATCGGGAGGAGCTCGCCAATCCGTTGGTAACGCCATCGCGAAGATTTAACAGAGTAAACAATTATACTTTACAAAGAGTATATGTACTCAAAAGGGAAATTGGTTAAATTCCAAGTATAGATTGTCACTTGAAAGCGGGAATTACTGTACTGCGTTTGCCATTTGTCTCTTTACAGTCGAATAGAGGGGAGTGGGAAGAGAGTGAAAGAGAGGCTGCGTGACTGAGAGAGAGAGAGAGAGAGAGAGAGAGAATACTTTGGAAAGGATGCATCCTGACGAATAGTTCCTAGAACAAAGCGTTTGGAACTATCTGAAGAAACGCAGAACGTGTGGTGACAGTACGAAAGGCAGAAGGGGGAGACAAAATTGAATTTAAAGAGAAAAAAGCAAAAATACGGTTACGGAAGAGGCAAGTAGAAACAAGTTCACCGGCTTCTCCTTCGTAAAATATATTTTCTGTGATCTCTCTTTGTCTCCCACCCTGACCCAGCCCCTCCACTCTCATCGCTTCTCTCTGTCTCTGTTTTTTATGTAACGCCTTTATCTTTTTTCTGTTCGATTCTCTCTAACAAATATAACGATCATAGGTCGTATGTGAACCTTTTCACCTTTTTGTAGAGGTCTACTACCATTCCACTACTGTCTACTACTCACTGGCACCTTTCTTCACTATTATCAAGAGGCTCTCGTGTCTGGGGATCGATACGTGTACGTTTACCACTACTTAACACGGGGGACACGTTTATACCTGAAACTACTACTCTTCTCGACTACCCAACCACCCTGAATACTCGAAACGAGCAAACGGATGGTATAAGCCTTTCCTCGATGGTAGCCGCTGGATAACTGCCCGCAAGTTACGTAATACAATCGATTCTCCCGCAGGCTTCCTTTTTTCTATTCATCACTTCGTCTACATGTACTTTTGACTATACACGTATATACACGGATGTGTATATATATGTATGAGTTACCTTTAAACCCAGAGTCTCGAAGGCACGCGATTAATCACTGTCGTTATTGTTCACGATCGCCAATCATCATCGTCATCCTCATTATTGTTCCCATCGATGAGTCTTAACGATCGCGTTGCTTTTTATTATAGGGCACTGACCATCGTTGGTCGGATTAAAGTTAATTTGGCCGCTCAGTGTCACTCAGATACGATAGTTTGCTTCTCTGTTAGAGAAACACCAAGAATACGTGCTGATTTACGCGAGAAGACGAGGTACCAGGTGGTGGGGGTAACGAAACTGAAGAGTGGGGCGGCCCATTGGTGGCCTTGAGCAGCCAATTGATTTTGATCCGACTCAACCCGGGTAGAACACGACTCTGATATGCTATCGTGACGTTGCATTTTCTTTTTTCATGGGTACAGCCGTAATTATTTCTCTGTATCGATACTTTCCATTTCTTAGACACTGTAATAGTGCTTGAATCACTGTAATAATTCTTTTAAATAGTGTTTTTTTTATCGATAGCGTTAGGTTAGATATTGATAGTTTAGATGACACGATTCTTTATTATTGTTAATACAATAAAACATCACCACCGCTTCTATTTCAAGAATCACTATCGTTATGTTGTTCTACCAATATTGAAACCATTTTCTGTTTCCAGAACTAAGTTTAGCAACAAATGGAACAAACTTCTCATATGAGAACACTGGGGGAAAAAACCTGGAAAAACGCAGTATTAATTTTGTTATAATGCTATTTTCCGCGATATCGAAATTACTATAAATTATTTACTATTCAGTGTTCTACCCAAATATCAGAGTAACCACTATCACTATTAAGATCTTTCATACATGCACAGTCTTTCGCAGAAATCATTTATATTCTCGCATCGATAAGAACAATAATTCGCAACTCTTCCGCTAAGAATAGTTGAATGCAATATGGCGATCTACCGTGAAACACGTGCTAGAAAAACGTGAATTCACGTCGGTTGCGCTATAAATAGAGCCGCGAACGAAGAAAGTTTCCGATTTCCTCGAAATAACTCTTAACTTCTGGTATTCAAATTCACCCAAAATTTTCCAAATTCGGCTTCGATTACGTGGCTACGACTTTTGACTCTCGGAGAATAGCGTCAAAATTGATTATAAAGCTCGTCCATCTCGCGCGACACCGGGATAGCAAATTGGAAAACTTGAAACTATTCTTCGTCGGGTTTGTTTCTCGACCAGAGGCAAGGCAAAGTCGTGCTTCAACTTCGGATCGAGTTCGGTAACATCGAAACGAATTACGGCTGTCCCTC